GGAAAGTTACATCCTCGTTTCATAGGCTCGTTCGAAGTTCTCGAGCGAGTGGGCGAAGTAGCTTATCGATTAGCTTTACCTCCCGAGCTATCCAATGTGCACAATGTTTTTCATGTATTTATGTTACGGAAATAAGTGTGCGATCCAGATCATATACTTCAGCATAGTGAGATTCAGATTCAGCCAGACCTATTGTACGAGGAGCAGCCGATAGCAGTATTGGACCGCAGGGTTCATCGGCTCAGGAATCGAGATATTCCCCTTGTTCGTATCAAATGGAATCGCCACGGTGAATCCGATGCCACTTGGGAGCGCGAAGCCTACATTAGAGCTCGATTTCCTAATTTTGAATTTTGATGTATATACATTTTCTTGTATTGTATTTTGTATATATGTTCAGTTTAGTATTTCCGAGGACGGAAATAGTTTTTAGGAGGGTTGATTGTAATAGCCCAGTTTGTTATTAATAAAAGTGATATGCTTAGTTTTGAAGTTGAACTAATTATCCTTTTATCAATATTGCTTGTTTTAGTTTTCGAGCCAGTTAATAAGTTATGCAGTAATAAGTTTGACTTGAAGTCGAAAATCTATTCGGTTCAATTTATTCTCAATAACCGAACCTGTTCCGATAATTAATTTCAGATACGTTTAATAAACGGACATTATTAGTCGGGATTAATTATTTTATTTCGACGTATTATTCGAAGTCAAGATATTCAAATTAATTGTCGAAGTCGAGTTCCGACCGAAATTAAATAAATTCGGTCAAGATTAAACCTTAGCCGAGTTTGGAGTTCATGATATATGTGAATTTTTCTAAGTATTTAGTAGGTCATGAGTGTTAAATCAAGTTTCTAGCAATGGACCTAAGTTCATGTGCGTGCGCACCATTCCAATGCATTGTCGTGCCTATGTTGTGTGCGCCGGCCATGGCAATTACCGAGAGCATGTTATAGTTTGGTTCATGCTTAATTAATTTGGTTCATGGTTAAGTCTTAGTTATAGCCGAGAGTTTGCTATAGTTAAGTAATTGTGCAACTTGCCTTGGTGACTCACCTATTTGCTTAGTTAATGTGGCATTATAGTAGTACATAAGTGATGACTAAGCCATCTTGTAGTGCCACCTAAGAATGGTGACTAGGCGTGTGTTGTGCCACCAAGCTACATCTTAATGCCAAGGTACTATTAGTTCCACCTCAAGCTAAGCCTCCCGCCACTAGAGCCTTTATATAGTCTATTACTTGAGTTGAAGTGAATTATCTCATTTTAGTTAGTCTTTAAGAGAGATTGACGAGAGAAAAGAAAGTATAGCCGAGAGAGAAAGAAAATAGCGAGAGCATAGAGTAAGAAGTGGAGAAAATAGCTTGTGTGTTAGCCATTGTCGAGGGAAGCACGCGCGCCTACCGAGCGGTCCAGAGCAAGTGCACGAAGCTTCGCATTATTTCACGAGCAATCAGAGGGGTAAACTTATGATGACCTTCTTTTAGTAATTATGTGATTATTTTACGAAAATCATGCGTAGAGTATATAGTTGAGTTCATATAAGTGGTGTACCGCACTTGTAGGTGCCATTTAGGCCCTACCGAGCCATTTCACTTTTGAACTAAGAACTATCGAACGTTTTGTGCATTTTTTATCAGTATATGTCAAATTATATAGAGTTAAGTTGCAGTTGCCGGAGAAAGTCGTCGGACGGCCGGCAAGGTGCCGGTCGTAGTGCCTGCCTGCACATAGCGTGCGCAGTGCGCCCGACAGTAGCATGTGGGCTTGCGGGTAGCTCGCGTACGCCCAGTTGTGCGACGCGCGTAGCTCATACCCGCAGCGTTCAGCAGCATGCAACTAGCGGGTGTGCGTAGGCGTGCATAGCGCACGCCAGTCACGCACGGCAGCGCGCAGCCAATCTGCGTGCGCCCAACACCGTAGCGCATAGCGAGTGTAGGCAGCGCCCGGCAGCGCCTAGCCGACTCGCATCACGCGCTAACGCCCGTCAGCCAGCTGTACCTAGATGCACGCTGGTGAGTCCCAGCGCACGCCAGCACGCCCAAAAGCACGCCAGCGTGCATAATAGGCCTCGGTCAGTGCTCAACAGCACGCCCGAGCGCCATGTGCCATCAAGGCCGCTCGGCAGCGCCCGTGTGGCACCAGCCGCGCCAGTGTGCGCGAGCAGTGTTTGCCAGCATGCCTAGCTGCCTATCCATGGTGCACAGCAGCACCCGACAGTGCTCGTGCGCGCCAGTGCCGAAGCTAGCGTGCTCGGCAGTGGGCAGTCGCGCGTCCAAGTGCCTAGTCGCCATCGGCCGTGCCCAGTAGCACCCGATGATCATCACTCACGCGCGGGCTTGTGCTAGTCACACCCAACAACGCCTTGTGTCACGCCCAGTCCGTGCGTGCGACCGCGCCAAGGCACTAGCAGGCCCTGCATGGGACCATGTCGGTTAGCCTGAGTCAGCGGCCGACCGCCAGGCCACTGTGAGCCGGCGGTCCAGCCATTCAGTGAATCGGTCGATCTTGACCGGTTATTCGAGTATTTATTGCTTATTGTTCCGGTTCGAGTTTATTTCAGAATTTCTGTTAAATTTCGAGCCTAGTCAATCTAGTATAGCAATACCAGTTAAGTTCAGATTTAAAAATCAGTTAAAATAGAAGCCTAGACTATTCCACTAAATCCAGTTAAATTATTTGTTAGAGTCGAGCATATTAGTAGTTATTTTTAGTAAGTCTGAGTATAGCACTTGGTATTTATTTATTTATATATTTTACAGTTTGAGCAGTTAGCAAACAATCAATACTTACAATTTCAAATCCAGCAGTACATGTGGGGACCCCGACTCGGTATTACATTGAGTATAATTACAGATATCATGTTCGAGGTATGTATATTCAGTTTCCGCTTAGAGTGGTGGTCAGATACCGTAAGTCCAACCTAAGTTCTAGTGGTGGCTCAGATAGCCGTAATATTTTCACTAGAGTGTACACATGGTTCCGGCCAGTTTTGCCGACAGATTTAGTATCAGTTTCAATATCATTACAGTTTCAGTTTCAGATTATATGCTGTTGATCATGGTATTGCAATTATTATTGTTGTTTACGTTAGTATGGGTTTCTGCGGAGCACAGTGGATTTTAGTGCTCACGCCCCCACTATTTTCTCTTTTTCATATAACAGGGTCGGACTAGAGGTGTGAGCTCAGCTTGGTGGTTGTAGTCGTGGATTCGGCCAGAAGCCGTCTTGTGGACTTTTGTATATATTTTGCTACGTTTTTATTTCCGCTGACATTTATAGATTTTTCAAACTTGCATGACAGTTTTCAGATTTTGGTCCGAATTACTAGTCGGGTCTAGTTTTGTATTACATGCTACTAGCAGTTAGACCTAGATAACGATAACGGGTTTTTCGGAACAGAAAAGTTTTAGTAGCATCCCGATCTAAGATTTCGCAAATTAATAAGTTTTTAATTGAAAAGTTTTTGTGAAAAATTGACTCTGATATTAGCAAGATAGCGGGGTGTTACAACAAGAGTATGCCTGAGCCAAGTGAAAATGTGTAGCCTGAGGTGCTTTAAATGTCGTCAGTTGATCCTGCCCAGTCACTATCGGTGTAACCGATCAGTCTTGAGTCTTCGTTATGTTCGTATTGGATTCCATAGTCTTTAGCACCCTGCAAATATCGTAGTATTCTTTTCGTGGCTCCATAGTGAACTTGGCTTGGACTTTGCATGAACCTTGACAGTAGACTTGTTGCGTATATGATATCTGGTCTTGTGGTCGTTAGATATAGCAGGCTTCTAATCAGGCTTCGGTATGTGGATGCGTCTGTATTTGGCATACTGTCGTCTTTGCTAAATTTTTCATTTGCTACCATGGGTGTAGCCACGACTTTACAACCGTCCATTTTGAACCTTTTTAGTTGATTATCTGTGTATTTTCTTTGTGGGATAAGTATCCCATCTTCTTCTTAGTCACTTCAATGCCGAGAAAATAACTCATTTGTCAAAGGTCTGTCATCTCAAAATTCTTCATCGTATCTTCTTTGAGCTCTTTAATCATCTCCTCATTGTTCCCTGTATAGATAAGATCATCTACATAAAGAGAGACAATGAGTTTGTTGTCGTTACCTTGGGTCTTGATGTAGAGTGTTGGCTCAATTTTGCTTCTTTTGAATCCATGACTGGTGAAGCAGTCATCAGTTCGGGTGTACCAAGCGCGTGGGGCTTGTTTCAATCCGTAAAGCGCCTTTTTTAGTTTTAGGACTTTATTTTCTTGTCCTTCTGCCACAAATCCTTGAGGTTGTTCGACATAGATCTCCTCTTCTAGATAGCTATTGAGGAATGCAGACTTGACATCGAGTTGATAGATTCTCCATTTCTTTTGGGTTGCAAGTGCAACTAGAGCTCTTATGGTGTCTAGCCGAGAAACTGGAGTGAAGGTCTCGTTGTAGTCGATCCCGGGCAGTTGTGAGTACCTTTTAGTGACCAGTCGTGCTTTATGCTTTTGGATTGATCCATCTGGGTTAAGCTTTATCTTGTAGATCCACTTAACTCCAATGACTTCCTTGTTGTTTGGTGGATCGACCAACTCCCAAGTTTTATTCTTCTCGATCATCCTGATTTCTTCCTCCATGGCTTTTACCCATTCCTTTTGCTTTACTTCTGCTTCAAAGTTCTCTGGTTCCATCGTGGAAAAATTGCATGTCTCGTAGATCTCCCTGAGTGTTCGTACTTTTCTTGGTGGTGACTCTGGAGATGATTGTTCGTCGCTTGATGGTATGACATCCTCGAATTCGAAGGTTGTGAAGCTGGAGGTGATTGTGTACCTTCTGCTTCATATTCATGCTCTTCTGGTATGATATTTTGCCTCCGCCGTGTAGGTACCATGATATTTTGGTATTCGACTTTTTCTTCCTTCTAGTTCCATGCAACATTTTCATTGAACTCGACATCTCGACTGATAATTAGTTTACCAGTCTTGAGGATGTCAATTATGTATCCTTTAGATTGAGACGCATAGCCAAGGAATATGCCTTTCTCGGATTTCTCCTCAAGTTTGTGCCTCTTTTTCTTTGGGATGTGCACGTAGCAGATACTCCCAAAGACTCGTAAATGTTGGGCTGACGGTTTTTGTCCACTCCAAGCTTCTATTGGAGTTTTATTTTGGACTACTTTAGTAGGACACCTGTTGAGTAGGTAGACTGTAGTGTATATAGCCTCTGCCCAAAATTCTTTTGGCATGTTCTTCTCCGCGAGCATTGTCCTGGCCATCTCTTGCACGATTCTATTTTTCTTTTCTGACACGCCGTTCTGCTCTAGAGCGTAGCCAATAGTTAATTGATGGTTGACTCCTTCATCATCGCAGAATTTGTTGAACTCTTTGAATGTGTATTATGTTCCTCGATCACTCTGAGAACTTTAATTCTTATTCCACTCTGATTTTCGACGAGGATTTTGAATTTTCTGAAGATAGAGAAGACTTCAGAACTTTCTTTCATGAAGTACACCCAAGTCATTCTTGTATAGTCATCAATGAAGAGGATGAAGTACCTGTTCTTCTTGAAGGTTGGCGTACTCATTGGACCGCACACGTCTGTATGCACCAGCTCCAGTGTTTGTTTGGCTCTTCCTTCTTGGCTTGAAGGAAATGGTTTCCTGTGTTGTTTTCCTTCCATGCACTTTTCGCAGAGATGGTCGTTCAATTGGATGGCCGACAGATTTTTCATCATATTTTTCTGACGAAGTAGCTATAGACCGTTGAAGTTAAAGTGCCCGAACCTTCGGTGCCATAGCCAGGATTGGTCTTCTTGGGCTTTTAGTGCTGCTTCTATGAATTTTCAATGGAGCGAAGAGTTTCTCCGGTGTTGCATTTTTACTACAGCTATGAGATTGTTTTTGTTGTCATAAATGGTGCAAGAGTTGTTTTTGAAGAGTAGTGTGTATCCTCTTTCCACCATTTGTCCAACGCCGAGTAAATTAGTATCAAGTTTTGGTACTAGCAGCACATCTTCAACAAGACGAGTACCTTTTCGTGTCTCGACCTCAATTGAGCCTTTGCCTTCAACTTCTACTAGATCCCCATTGCCTAACCGAACTTGTAATATTACTAATCTATCAATATTTTTAAATTTCTTCTCATCTCCGGTCATATGGTTGCTGCAGCTGCTATCTAGGAACCAAATATCATTTTTCTCATCTGAAGTTGCATGTGTTGCATAGAACATCAAATTTTCTCTTTTTTCATTTTCTTCAGAGAAATTTGCTTGATATATTTTAGTGCGGCAATTTTTCTCCACATGACCGAGTTTACCACAATTTTTACATTGTGGTTTATCTCGGTACCAACAATCCTTCTCAAGATGATTGGTCTTCTTACAAACTCCACAAGGTGGATATTTTCCTTTTTGTTGATTACTATTATTATTTCCACCTTGATTTTTATTTTTGCTATTTTATCCAAATCTTCTCCCCCCCAATTTTAGAATTCTGAGACCGTAAATTTAGTTTTGACTGAAATGCATTTTCAATTGTATCATTTTCACGCATACTCAGTCTTTTTCCATAGGCTTCAAGCGAACCTATTAATTCTGTCACTGACAAATGATCCAAATCTTTAGTTTCTTCAGTCGTCATGACGATAGGATCATATTTGGCTGGTACAGTAATTAGTATTTTTTTCTACCACCCTTTTGTCAGTGATATTTTCTCCATATGCTTTTAATTGATTTACTACTTCTCTTAATCGAGTGTAGTAATCTTTTACGGTCTCAGATTCTTTCATCTTCATATTTAACAAATCTCTTCTTAGTGTTTGTAATTTCATATGACTGTACCTTGTCACTACCCTGGTATTCTTCCTTGAGAGTATCCCAAGCCTCCTTTGATGTATGTGCTCCGCTAATTCCTGGAAACAGGGACTCTGTCATGGCCATTTGTAGTGTGAAGAGGGCCAAATGTCTTTTTCCTTCTTCCGGTCGAATTTTTCTTCATCCGCCGTAGACAAAGTGGATATGTCATCGGGGATAGTATACCCGTTCTTGACAATATTCCATAGGCCTTGAGACATAAAATATGTTCTCATTTTAATGGCCAAATAGTTATAATTTTCGCCGGAAAAAATAAAAATTGTTGTTTGATTGGTGTTTTGGGAAGTGACCATTTTGAAGATTTAATAGGCTATGTGAAAGTAAGAGTATATGTGAAAATAGGGTATTTGGACAAGATGTGTAAAAATAGGAGAGTATATAAAAATAATTTCGTCCATCTATTGATCTAACCTGGCTCTGATATCACTGTTGGTATCAAAAGTAAGTATTAAGAAATTGAATTTGTATATGATTCTTTTGTGTTTGGATAGAGAGAAATGTAGATATTATGTGGGGTGAAGTAATTGGTTATTGGTGGTAGACAAAGTAGTTGTTTTCTATTCAATTTTCTTCACAATACCACAAACACATTACATGTATTTATACGATTGCTAAGCCAGTTCTAACCGACTTATAAGGAAGTTTCATGACTTTTCTTACAATTTTATTCAATTAATTATTCTTACCTACCATTAGAGCTGTCTAGATTTTCTCAACTAATCAAATAATTTTTTTTAGTCTAGAATCCTCTTCTATGAGCATCAATATTTAATAGTTCTCTTTTTCATCTTCAAATCGAAGCAGTGTTTAAGTCAATGTCTTCTCCGCTTCGACTTTGTCTCGTTGGCGATTATAAGTTCTCATTTAGGTTCTTAGCAAAAATAGATGATGATGTGTATTGTCTTCCAATTTGTGAAGAACTCAAATTTGATTCTCTGAATTGCGGTTCTAGAATCCTTTTTTTTTTTTTTTTTTTTTT